GGAACAGCCTCGCTGTGTGAGGCTGGCACAGCCTCGCTGTTTGACGCTGGCACAGCCTCGCTCTTTGACGCTGGCACAGCCTCGCTGTGTGAGGCTGACACAGCCTCGCTGTTTGACGCTGGCACAGCCTCGCTGTTTGACGCTTGCACAGCCTCGCTGCTTGACGCTGGCACAGCCTCGCTGTTTGACGCTGGCACAGCCTCGCTGTGTGAGGCTGGCACAGCCTCGCTGTTTGACGCTGGCACAGCCTCGCTGTTTGACGCTGGCACAGCCTCGCTGTTTGACGCTGGCACAGCCTAGCTGTTTGACGCTGGCACAGCCTCGCTGTGTGAGGCTGGCACAGCCTCGCTGTTTGACGCTGGCACAGCCTCGCTGTTTGACGCTGGCACAGCCTCGCTGTTTGTCGCTGGCACAGCCTCGCTGTTTGACGCTGGCACTGCCTCGCTGTTTGACGCTGGCACAGCCTCGCTGTTTGACGCTGGCACAGCCTCGCTGTGTGAGGCTGACACAGCCTCGCTGTTTGACGCTGGCACAGCCTCGCTCTTTGACGCTGGCACAGCCTCGCTGTGTGAGGCTGACACAGCCTCGCTGTTTGACGCTGGCACAGCCTCGCTGTTTGACGCTTGCACAGCCTCGCTGCTTGACGCTGGCACAGCCTCGCTGTTTGACGCTGGCACAGCCTCGCTGTGTGAGGCTGGCACAGCCTCGCTGTTTGACGCTGGCACAGCCTCGCTGTTTGACGCTGGCACAGCCTTGCTGTTTTACGCCGGCACAGCCTCGCTGTTTGACGCTGGCACAGCCTCGCTGTGTGAGGCTGGCACAGCCTCGCTGCTTGACGCTGGCACAGCCTCGCTGTTTGACGCTGGCACAGCCTTGCTGTTTTACGCCGGCACAGCCTCGCTGTTTGACGCTGGCACAGCCTCGCTGTGTGAGGCTGGCACAGCCTCGCTGTTTGACGCTGGCACAGCCTCGCTGTTTGACGCTGGCACAGCCTCGCTGTTTGTCGCTGCCGCGAGGCCGTCGCGCTTCCCCTGCCGCGACACTGTCGCGCTTCCCCTGCCGCGACACTGTCGCGCTTCCTTTGCCGCGACACTGTCGCGCTTCCCCTGCCGCGAGGCCGTCGCGCTTCCCCTGCCGCGACACTGTCGCGCTTCCTCTGCCGCGACACTGTCGCGCTTCCCCTGCCGCGACACTGTCGCGCTTCCCCTGCCACGACACTGTCGCGCTTCCCCTGCCGCGAGGCCGTCGCGCTTCCCCTGCCGCGACACTGTCGCGCTTCCCCTGCCGCGACACTGTCGCGCTTCCCCTGCCGCGACACTGTCGCGCTTCCCCTGCCGCGACACTGTCGCGCTTCCCCTGCCGCGACACTGTCGCGCTTCCCCTGCCGCGACACTGTCGCGCTTCCCCTGCCGCGACACTGTCGCGCTTCCCCTGCCGCGACACTGTCGCGCTTCCCCTGCCACGACACTGTCGCGCTTCCCCTGCCGCGAGGCCGTCGCGCTTCCCCTGCCGCGACACTGTCGCGCTTCCCCTGCCGCGACACTGTCGCGCTTCCCCTGCCGCGACACTGTCGCGCTTCCCCTGCCGCGACACTGTCGCGCTTCCCCTGCCGCGACACTGTCGCGCTTCCCCTGCCGCGACACTGTCGCGCTTCCCCTGCCGCGACACTGTCGCGCTTCCCTGCCGCGAGGCCGTCGCGCTTCCCCTGCCGCGACACTGTCGCGCTTCCCTGCCGCGACACTGTCGCGCTTCCCCTGCCGCGAGGCCGTCGCGCTTCCCCTGCCGCGACACTGTCGCGCTTCCCCTGCCGCGACACTGTCGCGCTTCCCCTGCCGCGACACTGTCGCGCTTCCCCTGCCGCCACACTGTCGCGCTTCCCCTGCCGCGACACTGTCGCGCTTCCCCTGCCGCGAGGCCGTCGCGCTTCCCCTGCCGCGACACTGTCGCGCTTCCCCTGCCGCGACACTGTCGCGCTTCCCCTGCCGCGACACTGTCGCGCTTCCCCTGCCGCGACAGTGTCGCGCTTCCCCTGCCGCGACACTGTCGCGCTTCCCCTGCCGCGAGGCCGTCGCGCTTCCCCTGCCGCGAGGCCGTCGCGCTTCGTCGGTCAAGTCAAAAATATAGGGTAGGTCAACTCTGGGGTGGGTCAACTTTTTTTGGTTATATTTATATTACTCCTATTTATTTTCCCATATTTATATTCTAATATTGATATTAATATTTTTATTAATTAATATATAGGTAGGTCAACTTTGAGGTGGGTCAAGCTACATAGACTCCTTTTATTCCGGGTCTTCTATTGAATTTTTTTATTGAATATTTTTATTGAATATTTATATTGAATATTTTTATTGAATATTTTTATTGAATATTTATATTGAATATTTTGATTGAAAATTTTTTTGATTATTTATATTGAATATTTTTACTAATATCGGTAGAGGCATTTTTTAAAATGACTTTTCTTCTAGATGTATACAGATTTATTGGTAGAGGCAATTTTGGTAGAGGCAATGAGCCACCCCCGTCTGGCCGCCGTCTGGCCGCCCTGGCTCTCACGATGCCTGCCGGAGTAGAAACATCATTCAGAGTGGCCATCTATGCCTAAAGCCCGAAGCGCGCCGCAGACTGATTACGAGAGTCGTCTCTCCTCGCTCCGTCTCTCTCGCACCTGTATGGCACGCCCCACGAGTGCGAGAGAGACAGCGACGAAGAGACGACTCTCGGAATCAGTCTGCTGGAAGGCTGCGAAGCTAATCGCCTCTCGCACATCGCCGGTGAGGTAACACCATGTGCGCGTTGTTCTCTCTGTGCGTGTGCGTGCGTGTGTGTGTGTGTGCCTGTATGTGTGCGTGCGTGTGTGTGTGTGTGTGCCTGTGTGTGTGCACGCGTGTGTGTGTGTGCCTGTATGTGTGCGTGCGTGTGTGTGTGTGTGCCTGTATGTGTGCGTGCGTGTGTGTGTGTGTGTGTGTGTGCCTGTATGTGTGCGTGCGTGTGTGTGTGTGTGTGTGTGCCTGTATGTGTGCACGCGTGTGTGTGTGGAGTTGGGGGGAGGGGGAGGCTGCGTGGCGCGCGTACGCCGAATTCATGGTTCAATGACGAGCAGAAAGGCGGCATGCACTCTCTGTCCGGAAAGTGGGCTTCTCGGCGAGCCCGCATCTTTCTCTCTCTCTCTCTCTCTCTCTCTCACTCACACCCGACGAGGCCGTCTCTCTTGGACTCGCTCGGTAGCGCGGTGGCTGAGCCCTCGGACACAATGCCAGATTGTAATTAGGCGAGTACTGCGCCATCAGCCCCGTTCGCACTCCATGTGTCCTTTCTGCATGATTTTGTGTGTGTTGTGTGTGTGTTGTGAGTGTGTTATGTGTTTGTGTGTGTGGGGGGGGGGGGGGGGCGGGGCGGGGGGTCTGCGTGCGTTTGTTTGTTTTCATAGCTCATTGTGAGTGTGTGGATAAGCCGTTGTAGAACGTGCAATTTTGTGCAAAAGATGCTCAGAATCGATGCATTTCGATTACTGCACAGGAGCTATTCGGCTGAGCGAGCCCCTTGCAGTGTAGGCAGTCCCGTTAAGCGTCGCTCCTCGCCGGGTTGCCTACCCGTCTTTTCGCAGGCGCCCGGGTTGTTCACCGAACCACTTAACGGGTGTGCATCAAAAATCATTTCATGAGAATTTTTCCTTTAAATGTTGTAATTTTACATAGTCTAGGAGACAATGAATTGATTAATCATTGAATATCCTTTATCAATTTATTGGTCATGTACGGTCAATTCACGCTCAAAAAGTGCCACACATCATTCGATGGAATGCGACACCATTTCACGTCCATTTATGTACATTATATCGTGAAAGTGCACGGTCCGCACAGTAAAAACTCAACGGAGAATCGCTCTGTTATACGAAGAGAATGGAGGCATTATAAAATCTACGAAGAAGATTCGTATTATGAAACAAAATCATTCGTAATACGAAGCAATGCTACAATGCCTTCATTTTCTTCGAATTTATTTTTCGAGTGCGTACTTACATCGGTTGGCTGTCACTTGGGAGTCTCTGAGCCTCTCAAGTTCAACACTCTAAATGTCTTACAATGAAATTTGACCTATGTTATTCGTATGTTACAGTGAATTCGGCGCAAGCGTAATACGAAGCAATATTCCTTCATAATACGAATCTTTTTAGCTTTTTCATTGTAAGATACAAAGAAAAACCTTCGTAATACGAAAGAAAAACCACCTTCGTATTATGCTTGCGCCATTTCCTTCGTAATGTGGGAAATTTCTTCGTAATACATTTAGAGTGAAGCTTGCGAGCCCCTTGCAAGTCCCGTCAAGCGTAGCGGTTCGCCGTGTTGCCTAGTCGGCACTTCGCAGGGGCTGATGTCAGCTCGCAGACGGACGCACAGTGGGCCAGAAGACCGGTCGATGTGGCCAAAGCTCTAGGAGCATTTTCAGCTCCAGAGTCCAGGGGTGACCCACTGTGAGATGTAGTGTACAATGAATGAGGGAAATGTGTTGGAATGTGCAAGATTTCTGCTGTATTTGTCGCACGTGTTGCCTACTTACAGGCGGTTTTCCTCCTGAATGTGGGAATGTGTTCAAATTTTGTGCAATAAATGTTGGTAGTTGTTTCCCCCTCGCCCAGAGTCGCTAAATGGGACTCGAGCCGATCGTGTGACCCCACCATGGATTGCTCTCCGAGCGATGAATCCATTGGTGGGGTCACACGCTCGGTTACAGACTTGCTTAGCGACTCTGGAGCTCAAAACGCGTCTAGAATTTTGGCTGCCTCCGCCAGCCTTCTGGCTCACTGTGTTCCGGCTACGAGTTCACCGCCCGCTGCTGCAGTACAGTGGCGGATCGAGAGGGACCTGGAAGGGGGGCCATTTTTGCAGAGTAACAGAGGCAAAACATGGCTTTTTGGTTTTCGCCTGCGGTTATGTGGTGCTCCTTTTGCAGCTCATAGCAGCATCCCCAAAGAATCTCCATTTTTCTGATTGCAGGGACTGGCGTTGGTGTGCCTGCTGGCGGCCGTGGCCTTGGTCGCGGAGGCCCTGGAGGAGCCCATCCCGGAGAGGTACCTGCCGCCTCGCGACTACAACCCGCACCCGTACCAGGTGCGTACTCCCCTCAACGCGCGGTAGTCCGCTTATCACAGTGGGCCAGAAGACCGGTGGAGGCGGCCAAAACTCTAGACGCGTTTTGAGCTCCAGAGTCGCTTTATGGGACCCGAACCGAACGAGTGACCGCACCAATGGATTCCTCGTCCGGAGAGCCATCCATTGGTGAGGTCACACGTTCAGTTCGAGTCCCATCTAGCGATTCAATGGCGCTCAAAACGCGTCTAGAATTTTGGCCGCCTCCACCGGTCTTGTGGCCCACTGTTAGAGAACCGCTCTCATTGGATGGTATTGCTTCGGAAGCCCTAGTGCTGCGATTCGATGGCTCAGCCAAAGCCCTGAGTTAGCGCGTCCACTCCAACCTCCAACGTGTCGAGCCCACTCGCGACTCTGTTGCTGCAGAGACCTCTGTCACCCCACGACCCCGACGGCCTCCACGACGGCGGCCTTCAGGACGACCAGCCGAGCGCGCCGAGCGGCCCCGGCCACCAGGACCCCGTCCAGGAGCCGCACCCGTACGCGCTGCTGGCCAGGAAGAGGCCGCGCGAGGGCCGCTACCCGCACCACCAGCCCGGCGACCCCGTGCTGTACCCGCACCCCATCAGCGTCATCAGCGAGCTGCACCGGTCCACAGGCAAGCCGGGCGAACACCCCCCACCCCAGACCACCACTGCACAGCGGGCCAGACGACCAGCGCAGGCGGCCAGAATCCTAGACGCGTTTTGAACTCCTGAGTCGCTAAGTGGGTCTCTAAACGAACGTGTGACCCAACCAATGGATTGCTCTCTGAATGAGGAATCCATTGGTGGGGTCACACGTTCGGTTCGAGTCCCACTAAGCGACTCTGCAGCTCAAAACGCGTCTAGAGTTTTGGACGTCTCCACCGGTCTTCTGACCCACTGCGGGACGGTCTCCTGCAAGTTAAACTCCAAGTCACAGCCTTGCTTTGGGTGTTTCCAGCTCGGGCGAAGCTCCAACGCAACCATCACCGGCAGCAGCAACAGCAGCAGCAACAACAGCTGCAGCTGCAGCTTCAGCAGGTGGTGGGTCAGCAAGGCCGTGCCGAGGATGCGTACTACCCCGTGGAGGCCGAGCAGGAACTGCAGTCGCTCGACCCGCAGCAGGACCGCCAGCCCGTGCTGGTGTACCAGCAGCAGCACCACCGCCACCAGCAGCAGCTGCAGCAGCAGCAACTGCAGCAGCACGAAGAACTGCAGCAGCAACAACAGCACGCCGTGAGTGAACTGTCAACAGTTTCGTCAAGGCTCCTCATCAGGCTGCAAAACAGTGTTTCGTTGCAGTCAGCCACTCAGCGCGTTTTGAGCACTTTCTGCCGAGAGGACAACCACTCGAAAAATCCTGTGTCCCCTGGAGCCCTAGAAATATCTGGAAATCCGAAATCTTTCCCCAAAAAAGCAAAAAAATCAGGCAGATTTGAGGCGTAAACTTGGACGAAATCATGCGAAATCCTACGATATCCGAGACGAAATCTCTTGTAAGAAATCTTGTGTCCCTAAACATCGTACGTGGTTGGCCCCTTGCTTTCTGCTCAATTTGTGAGAGGTTATTTTGAGCATTCATTAACTTGCAAAGATAATACTTGCGTCATTTCTGCGTTAAGAAACTTTCAAGCGCGCTGGGTTCACTTTCATTGTAACACTACTCAAATTTGAATGTCAGCCATCCCGAGAGCAGTGCAAAAGCACTGAGAAAATTTGAGTCGTCACTTGATGACAATTTTAAGGCTAATTTTCCTTACAACAATATCATCAAAACAATTGATGACATTGTTGTCACGCCCATGCAATAAGTATAGGAGCTGTGATGAAAATGTCACCAACTTGTGATGAGATTGTCATAATTTGGAAGTGATGAAAATATCATCCACGTTTTTGTCATAAAGTGACAGCCGGCAAATTTTCACAATGTGACTGTCTGTTCCGCAGGCCGCCAACAACTACGCCTTCTCCTACTCGGTGAGGGACACGGGCTCGGGCGACAACTACGCGCACGCGCAGGCGCGCAGTGGCGACGGCACGCGCGGCGAGTACCGCGTGCGGCTGCCGGACGGACGCCTGCAGATCGTGAGCTACGTGGCCGACAACCACGGCTACCGCGCCGACGTGCGCTACGACGAGCACAAGGCGGCAGGTGAGGACTGTCTCTCTCGCGCGCCCGCGGCCCTGCGGGACGTCGCACACCGAGAATCAAGGAGTCGTAATCAATCACGACTAAAATTTCGGGGGAGCACAGTGGGCCAGAAGACCGCTGGAAACGGCCAAAACTCTAGACGCGTTTTGAGCTCCAGAGTCGCTAAATGGGACTCGAACCGGACGTGGTACCCCACTAATAGATTGCGCTCCAAACGAGGAATCCATTGATGGGGTCACACGTTCGGTTCGAGTCCTGTTTAGCTCAAAACGCGTCTGGAGTTTTGGCTGCCTCCGCCGGTCTTCTGACCCACTGTGGGGAAATATTCTTTATCGCCCAAATTTGGATGAGAACCATTTTATCACCCAATAATTTGGGTGAGAATACTATCTGGCCGTATGGGTACCTGATACTCTTTGTCACCCAAATTTGGGTGATGAAGTACGTCGCCCAAAATTGGGTATTGATCAAGACTTTTTCATTCTCAGTACATGAGTGCGAGAAAGAGCGGCGAATGCTCTGGTCGGAGTCATATCAATTCGCAGGAAGGCAAGGCGCAGTGGTGCTGGTGCTGGAGAATCTTCGGTCGATCAGCGCAACGCAGCGCAACGCGCCCCTGCGAAGAGGGTGGCCTACGGAGCGCCTGCGAATAGGCCTGCGAAGAGGGTGGCCTACGGAGCGCCTGCGAGGGTCGAGATAGGCCACCCTCCACGCAGCCGTGCGTAGTTGGACAGGGAGGTGCCTACCCGGCAGGCGCTCCAAGGCCGCCGGCCGCCGGGTGGTACACACGGGGCATGTTATCCACCCGTACGGAAGTTGCCTCGTGTGATGAGGAGATACAGCCCTCCGTGTACACTGTAAAAATTTGAATCGTCACTTGATGACAATGGCAGGGCTAATTTTCCTTAACAACGATGTCATCAAAACAATTTGATGGTTGTCGCACGCCCATGCATTAAGTATAGGAGCTTCGATGAAAATGTCATCAATTTGTGATGAGATTGTCATCTTGAAAGTGATGAGAATATCATCCAACGTTTTTGTCATAAAGTGACAACAAATTTTCACAGTGTACCTGTGCATTTAATTGTATTGGGGCTCCTTTTCGACCACTTTTCTGGCTACACGTGCTTTGGGTTGACCGCAATCGTTCACCAACCGGTGCACCAATTCGTTCGCCATCACTGTCTTGTTTGAGTTGCAGCGCACGCCGTCGAGCCCGCTGGCCCCGCCCTGGTCCGGCAGTACGCGCCCGTCGCGCAGCTGCAGCAGTACGTGCACGCCTCGCCGTCGCCCGCGCCCGAGCAGCACCAGTACATCGTGACGCCGACGGCCGCCGCCCCCGCCCCGCACCACCAGCAGTACATCGCCGTGTCGCCGTCGCCCGCGCCGGAACAACAGTACGTCGCCCACGTGTCGGCCGCACCGGAACAACAGTACATCGCGCACGTGTCGCCGTCGGCTGCACCGGAACAACAGTACGTCGCGCACGTGTCACCGTCGGCAGCACCGGAACAGCAGTACGTCGCCCACGTGTCGGCCGCACCGGAACAACAGTACGTAGCCCACGTGTCAACCGCACCGGAACAACAGTACGTCCCCGCACGTGTCAGCCGGGGCACCCGGAACAACAGTACATCGCGCACGTGTCGCCGTCGCCCGCTCCGGAACAACAGTACATTGCGCACGTGTCGCCGTCACCGTCGGCCGCACCGGAACAACAATACATCGCGCACGTGTCGCCGTCGCCGTCAGCCGCACCGGAACAACAGTACATCGCGCACGTGTCGCCGTCCGGACCTGAGCAGCAGCAGTACGTCGCCGAGCAAGCCCAGTACCTCGGCCACAGGTCCCCCGCCGAGTCCCGCTTCTTTGGCGCCACGGCGGCCACCCCCGTGGCCGCGGCCTCGCAGCTCGCGCAGCTGCAGTACCTTGCCCGCGCCACCGCGGCCGCCCCCGCCGCCCCCGCCTCGCACCAGTTCCTGGACCGCCCCTCGGCGGCGTCGGGGGCGGCGCGCCAGTACTACGACGACGGCTACTTCGTGGCGTCCACCACGCCGTCACCGCTGGGCGGCCTGGGTGACGGTTTCGACGGCCTCAGTCCGACGGGCTTCGTGGAGCAGGCGCGGGCCGCCCCCACGACGCAGGCGCCGCCGCCGGACAACACCGCCTCCCCCGCGCCCATCCAGTTCCCCAGGGTGCCCGAGGACGACCAGCAGCAGCAGCAGCAGCAGCAACAGCAGCAACAGACGCAACAACAGCAACAACAACAGCAGCAACAACAGCAACAACAACAGCGGCAGCAGCAGTTCGGACTGTCCGGCAGGTCGAACCAACTCTTCCAGTCCAGCCAGAGGTTCAACAACATCCTGGTGCGGCAGGGGTTCGCGTAGCAGGACCCCCCTCTTTCCCCCCTTCCTTCTACCTCTCTGGATTTACGTGACGTCATCCTGATACGCGGGGATAAGACTGCAGAGACTTTGCCATTGATGGGGCACAGTGAGGTACGCATCACTGTGCGCGTGTACATAGGGTAGTCTAGGCTGTAAGTGCGTCGTAGTGCTGGACGTGGCACTTCCCCCTTGTGGGAATAAGGAAGGGGAGGTTAGTTTCAAAATCCCACCAAGACTGTTTACGAGAGAGAGTTCCCACATCTTAAAAGAAATTCAGACAAAACCCTTTTCTTTGCCTTTAGTGAAGGAATGTTTTTACTCAGATGTTTCTATCAAATATACAGCCCAAAAACTAATCGCAAATTGTGGTTTTGTCCTTTATTTTCCCAGAGGTTGGAAATGCCCGTTCGGTTACTATTATTGTCATATTTTTTCATTCATGAAAAAAATGACTGTTACCATTATGAGTCTGTATATAGAAATCCCACTATTTTTCTAATCATTTAGCATACATACGGTGGTTACCTGATTCCCCAAACACCGTTAGAAAATATAATATGAAATAACTGAAAGTGTGTTGTTAGTTTTTTGTACGTGACACTGCGAGATTTTTTTAATAAAATTTGTTTCTGGCTTGTAACTTTTTATCGAACTGCATTATTTTCTTGTGACATTAACTTGCCTCCTCAAGTCCAAACTCGAGTCAACTTGATTATTAATGACAAAGGTTTATTTTTGTACTCGTGAAAGAATGGTTTCAATGCGAATAAAACGGACGAATGAAGAAAAAAGACCGCGCCAATTTCTATTTGGTAACCCTCTTCCACTCACACCACTCCAGTTGTGCTAAGGTAATATAGACAAACAGTCAAAGAACTGCTGACTTCCATATTCAACGTCGTATTGATACGGGTTTTTCTTGTTTTCTTTTTTGGTGTCCGGGGTGGAATTCAGGTCATTTCGCGTCTACTCACAGTATACATTCCGCAAACCGACTCGCATCGAATTGGGTGGGGCGAAGCTGGAAATTCACTGGCGTGATATCACGCCAGCAGACCGAGTCTGAGACCTGAGAGTCGTTTTCGTCACTCTGACTCTCTCACACGCATAGGGGAAGCCCCACGAGTGCGAGGGAGACAATGCGACGAAAACGACTCTCGGAATCAGTCTGCTGTGATTGGGGCATAACGTCGTGTCCCGTTCCCCGGGGCGGTGCTTCGTGCTTGGCGCGCCACTGACTTTAAAAGCGCGGCGCGCTGGCGATAGCCTCGCAGAGGGCGTCCACGTGCCGCTAGCCTCGCACCGAACGCGCGCGTGCAAGGACTGTTTGATTATTCCCCCCTCCTCCCCCCCCTTCATTGAAAGTGCTAGATAATACCTGCTGGGATCCCGTGCAGCCGGTTTCTTAGCCTACAGTTTTATCAGTCGGCATTTTCCTGTGCACCTGACTCCGTCGGCGCGCCCCTACTCCACCATGGGCAAGCAAGCTCTCAGCCCCGGTGACCCCACCTCCTTCTCCAGGCCGGGTAAGTATTAGTGAACGTAAACATAACCAAAGATTGACCGGGCACCGGCTGTCTGTCAAACCAAAGCAACTGTATGGTGAAGACATTGGTGCAAGGGTCGTGAAGTAGTCACCCACAACGTTGGGATGAGTATGTGACGATTGTCATGAATGCTGCTTTTGTGGTTGTCACGTTGGAGACTGATGTTTAGAGCCGTTCTCTGTCAGTCGCTTCGCAACTGTCCCCATTTATTTTTAACATGGGTAAAGATCAATCTATCTTTTGTTTGAGAGACTTCAACGTTTGCTTTAAATGTTCCAGAGCTTGTAGCTGTCACTCATATCCACCTGGATCTCAATGTGAACTTCAAAGAGACGAAACTCCAAGGCAGAGCCGATTTGACTCTCAACCCTCGCAGCCAAGAAACAACTCAGCTGGTTTGTGTTTTTATTTATTATCTACAGAGAGAATTAAAATTTCTGTTTCCTCCAGCTCATTCAATAATTTTGTATTGCAGGTTCTAGACTCAAGGGATTTATCAATCACAAGTGTCAAAGTTCAATCCACTGGCCAGGTGCTGGAATACTCATTGGGAACACCTATTGGAACTTTCGGATGCAGCCTTACCATCCAGCTGCCTGCCAATGTTTCTGAAGGGTAAGCTTCTCCAGAACATTTGAAAAAATTTGCTCTAATTTCAGTTATAATGGAAACCTAAAAGTGTTGCACTTGTCTTTGCAGGCAGATCATAAGCATTGAGTATGAAACATCTTCTTCAGCGAGTGCCCTCCAATGGCTTGGTGCCGAGCAAACAGTGGGAAAGAGGCATCCTTATTTGTTCAGTCAATGTCAGGTTTGTAACAAAATGTATTGACTTCTTTTCTTTTTTGACTCTCATTGCCCTCATTTTGTATTTGTTGTCACACTTTCACTGATTTTGTCACTCTTTTAACATGAAACCCTCTTTTGTTTCCAAAGGCCATCCATGCCCGCTCAATGATTCCTTGCCAGGACACGCCTTCAGCCAAAATAACTTATTCTGCAGAGGTTTGTTGAAAGCTGTTGCTTCTTAAAAAAACTATTCAAGTCCAATTTCTTACTTTATCTTTACAAAATTCAATTATTGATTATTTTTATTTTATGATTAGATTACTGTGCCTGAAGAACTCACTGTGCTCATGAGCGCACTCCAAGATGATTCGGAAACCCAATCGTCCAAAGCCCAACCTGGCACAAAAGTGCACCGATTCCGACAACCTATTCCTATGCCAACCTATTTAATAGCTATTGCTGTGGGTCATCTGGAATCCAGGCAGATTGGACCAAGATCTCGGGTGTGGTCTGAGAAGGAGCTTGTAGATCTTGCTGCATTTGAATTTGATGAAGTATGTAGACCTCTCCCTCTCTCTTGTTATGATTTAGTCATTTTTAGCTTTGAACTCTGCATCTAAAAGTAAACTTGATTTCAGACTGAAATGTTCCTTGAAACTGCCGAGGCTCTTTGTGGACCCTATGTCTGGGGCCAATACGACCTGCTTGTTTTGCCATCTTCATTCCCATTTGGAGGAATGGAAAACCCTTGCATTACTTTTGTTACTCCAACTTTACTGGTAAGTGCAGAAACTAGCAGAAATATTTTCATAGAAGTATTCTACACAGAAGCACTTATACTCTTTTTTTAGAAAAGAAATGTTTTATTTTTTGTGGAAGGGTTATTTTAAAGCTAATTACAACTTTTTTCTAGGCTGGTGACAAATCTCTTGCTAATGTGGTGGCGCATGAAATAGCTCACAGCTGGACTGGAAATTTGGTAACAAACCGGACCTTTGAGGACTTCTGGTTGAACGAGGGTTGGACGGTCTTTGTGGAGAGGAAAATTAAGGGGCGCATTCAAGGAGAACCAGCAAGACATTTTGATGCTATTGGGGGACTGAAGGAGTTGCATGAAACCGTGAGTTAAAGAATTCTATGTTGTTTGTTATTTACATTCAGGAAAACCTAGAATCTCGCTCTGTATTTTTTCTTTCTACTTGAGTGATAGTTGTGATTTACGAGAACTTTACAATCTTCAGGTTGAACGGAGAGGTGCTTCAGATCCTTTGACGTGTCTTGTTCATGACCTGCGAGGAGTAGACCCTGATGATGCCTTCTCCACTGTACCATATGAGAAAGGACACACTTTCCTTTATTACTTGGAGGTGCAATTGGGAGGTGCTGAAGCTTTTGAACCATTCATGAAGGCTTATCTGGACCATTTCAAATTCAAATCCATTTCTACTGATGACTGGAGAAACTTTTTGTATGACTACTTCCCTGGGAAACACAATATTCTCAATGGAATAGACTGGGACTCTTGGTTGCATAAACCAGGAATGCCACCACACATTCCTTCGTAAGGCTTGACAATCCATTCCTTTATCACTCTATTTTACAATTAATAAGTTAGTTTCACTGATTCTCGTTGTTTTCCCTTTAGGTATGACACATCACTTTCTGACGCCTGCACAGCTCTTGCTGATCGCTGGAGAAAGTGGCAAGAGACTCCGCCCAAGCCCTTCAACCCCACGGACTGGGCCAGTCTGTCCCCAGAGCAGCATGTGGAAGTTCTTGCTCAGCTGCTTGCTGGTCCAGCCTTGACACCCAGCAAAGTAGAAATTCTGGGGAAAACTTACAACTTGAGCACCACTAAAAACTGTGAAATTAGATTCAGGTACACTTTCTGATCTGAATTTTTAAAATCAGCAGTAAGTTTTTCATGAGGTGTCTCAGGTAATTTTTGTTTTGGCCAACAGGTGGATCCGTATTGGCTTGAAGGCTCGTTGGGAACCAGCCATTGCCCCGGCATTGGAATTTGTCACTGAGCAAGGCCGAATGAAATATGTGAGGCCAATCTACAGGTAAAGTTGACGCACCTAGGTTTTGATCCTCAGGCATGAGACTGTAGGGATATCATTTCTATGCAATTCTAACTTGTTTTTATGTTGTTTCAGGGATCTCTATGATTGGGAAGAAGCTCGTCCTCATGCCATAGCAACTTACAAACAGAACCGTGCCAGTATGATGTGGGTCAGTGCACACACTGTTGCCAAGGACCTCCATATTCAAGAGTGATTTTACCTTATTTGTTTCTGGCCTGATGGCTGATTGATTTACTTCAATTTTATTACTGACCAGTGTTGAAATCAGTGATGAAATAAAAGATTCTTAAACTGTTCTTCTAGGTCTATTAAATCAGTCATCAACTTTCAATGAAAACAAATTTATAAATCTTATTCTACTATATTTATTGAAAAACAGACACAAAGTTACTATGGTTCATGGCCAAATGGCTTGTAAGGGTATCTGATGGGTTGAGCCTTCCTCTCTGGATCTGGCTTGCCCCACAAATTGGAACCTTGCACATAATCCTTTGGAAAATCGAAAAGCTGTGGGAACTGAGCTTGCTTTTCCTTTGGAATTTCTTCATACTTAGTTGGTACAGGTCGAAGAGGTCGTATTTGGTTAGTTATATTAGCTGCTATTCCTGGTGGGATTTTCTCATCAGGGAAAATATGTAATCTTGCCATGTGCTGACGCCGTAGAAGATTCTTGTCCAATGCAAAATAGACAGCTTTCTGAACAATCTGAAATAATTGACAAAACAGAAACTTAGTTAACAGTATATGAAGCAATTTCATGTTTTGGAATAAGAAGCACTTACTAATGTATCATCTGCTTCATGAAGTTCCCATGCAAGTGTCCATGACTTAGCCCCTGCATACGTGCGATGGTGAAAATAAGCTCTGCGATACCATTCATCACCGGGAAGAGCAATCTCCTTAGAATTGATAACGACAACATGGTCACCACAGTTGTCTACAACAAACAGAAAATAATTTTAAGAACAAATCCTACATAAAGAGCAATTATGAATGGAAACTGGCGGTGACAAAAACTTACTCAGCGGATGAAATATGGGTTTCCACAAACCAGTTAGATACTTCTTAATGAGAATTGCAGACTCGTATGGGTTTTGCCATTTTAAGTCTATCAAATGCCAAACTCTAGAAAACGTTGCCCATTGCTGTAAAATAAAGAACCAGACGACATAACCAAACAGTTGCAGACGCCAGGACAAAAATCATCAAAATAAGAACCAGAATAACAACATCATTCCAACCTGGGCACGTCTGAAGGAAGACATTTTATAGATAAACGAGTACCACGGGTCGGTGTTTTTCAAAGTAAATGTTCAATAATGAAATTTGAGAAAAATATCTACAAACACATGAGAAACAGCACCGATTCGTTTTCCTCTCCAAACCTAACTTCCCACTGTATGAGAAATTCTGAAGAGCGAAGAAGACTGAACACGATGAGAAATAGCACTGGCCGTTTTCGGACTTGTGCGAAATGCTGCCATGGCAACACGAAAACAGCGGCAAAGTGATTGCGTATAGGTTCAGATTTAAGGCAAGAACGGCACATTCGAGTGCTTGTTTATACTTTTCAAAATTATTTCAGTAGAGTAGCACAGCAATAGATCACCATGAAGCGACGCAACGCACACCGACACCGGTGACGAAACTATTAGTGCACCGCCGAACGCTTCACTTGTCTGCTTCGCCTTGTCCTTGTGCTTCAGCCTGATTCCGCGGGTCGTTTCCGAGGGCTTGTCTCTCTCGCACTCCAGCGGTGGGCCGTTCAAGTGCAAGAGAGACAGAGCGACGAAACCGACTCTCGGAGTCAGTCTACTTGTTGGCCTCGCAGTGTGTCAGTGTCCGCGCCAGCACCCCGGACGCGACGTTGAGCTAGGGGCTCTCTGCTTCCAGGAGGGACGCCGATGAACGCCTCCAAGATGCGGAAACAGGAGCCCAAGGATGACCTCGAAGTGGACGCCATCGCGGAGCAGGAACTCTCCCGGCTGCAGCGCCACTACCGCATCATGGAGGGAGACAGGGAGGCCTTCTCCGAGGAGGCCAAGTTCTTCTTGAACAAGCAGAGGTATACTGTACTCTGCAGCACAGTGGGTCAGAAGACCGGCACCGGCCGGGGGCGGATCCAGGGACGGCCTGAGGGTGTGTGTGTCAAAGTGTTGCTCTTTTCCTAACTTTCAGGTGGCTATCTAGGGGTCAAGGGAGGGCGAGGGGTGACCCACTGTAAAATTTTGTGTACAATGATTGTGTAGATGTGCAAGAATGTGTAAGATTTCTGGCGCTTTTGCCACACTTGTTGCCTACTTACAGGCGTTTTTGCCACCTGAATTTGGAATGTGGTCAAAATTTGTACAATGAATGTGGGAAGCTGTTCCCCCCTCGAGGGAGAGGCTGTTGTCCTCCCCCCCCCCCCTGGATCCGCGCTTGGCACCGGCAGCCAAAGCTCAAAACGCGTTTTGACCTCCCTGACAGTCGCTGAACAGGACTCAAACTGAGCGTCTGATCCCACTAACGCATCCTCGTTCGGATAGCAATCCATCTATTTTTGCAGTGCAACTAAGGGAACGCCTATGACTTCTGCAGGAAAGTGATCGAGTCACTTCTCTTCGAAAGAAATGAGCTCATCACCAACCTCAATGTGGCGGCCTCGAAGCGGATCGAGGCCAAGGAGGCGAAGCAGAACGACCACCTGGCGTTCCTCATGGAGGTAGGTGGCGTGTCACGTGGGCTTCCCTCCCTGCAGCCCCAAGAACACGAAACGCTCACAGTGACGTCATTTTGATGTCAGTATGACAGATTTTAGTCAAAATTTCGGCCAAAAAAAAAAAACATCATTTTGACGTCAGTTTGACGCCCTTTGACTGCTTCGTGAGTGTTTCGTGTTCTTTGGGAGACCGATTCCGAGAGTCGTTTTTGTCGCTCTGTCTCTCTCGCACTCACTAGGCGACCCGTACAGATGCGAGAGGGACAGAGTGTCGAAGACGACTCTCGGAATCAGTCTGCAGGGTCTGAAGACCAGCGCAGGCGGCCGAAACTCTTGACTCGTTTTTGAGCTCCAGAGTCGCTAAACAGGACTCGAACCGAACGTGTGGCCCGACCAATGGGTTCCTCGTTTAGAGAGCAACCCATTGGTGGGGTCACACGTTCGGTTCGAGTCCCATTTAGCGACGCACTGGAGACTGTCTCCACCGGGGCCCACTGTGCGCCGCTCCGTTCTTTCGCGCGTTTGTTTCGAAATGCGACTAATGTTGTTGTTTCTTCATCGTCCAGGTGCAGTCCCGCTTCCAGGAGGCCATCAAGACGGAGAAGACGCAGCTGCACGAGCTGGAGCACCAGATCCGCAAGGTGGAGAAGGAGGTGGTGGCGCTGCGCAGGGACGACGTGTCCGACATGAAGCTCATCGAGCAGGCGGCCGCGCGGGAGAAGAGCGTCAACCTGCTGGAGAACAGGCTGCACAACGTACGTACACAGTGGGCCAGAAGACCGGTGCAGGCGGCCAAAACTCTAGACGCGTTTTGAGCTCCAGAGCCGCTAAACAGGACTCGAACCGAGCGTGTGACCCCACTAATCGATTGCTCCCCGAACTGGAGACAGTCTCCAGTGCGTCGCTAAATGGGACTCGAACCGAACGTGTGACCCCACCAATGGGTTGCTCTCTAAACGAGGAACCCATTGGTGGGGTCGCACGTTCGGTTCGAGTCCCATTTTGCGACTCTGGAGCTCAAAACGCGTCTAGAATTTTGGTCGCCCCCATTGTGCGCGGTCAACAGGGGCTAAGTACAACTTTTTGCCTTCCTTTCTAGCGGCTAGGTGCCATAAGGGGCGGGGCTTTGCCCGGAATCGTTTTTGCTTCGTATCTGGTAACTAAAACGAAAGTCTGCGAAAGAGTCTGACTCCGTTCCCCCATCCGTGTTCTGCAGGCGACCGTCAAGTTCAACAAGCAGCTGGCGCACAACGCGGCGCTGCGCGAGGAGATCGACCACCTGCTGAAGGAGCGCGCGCAGTACAACGTGCTGTACGACGCGCTCGTCAACAAGCTCAACCAGGGCAAGAAGATCATGATCGACCTCATCGAGCAGGCCACGCACGCCTACGACCAACGGTCAGTCTGTCAACGCCACTGTGTAAACACCAGTGGAACGGGGGCAGGGGACTTCCACCGTTTCAAAGAAACGGGTAGAAATTCGTTCAAAAATAAATATGGCAAGACGAGAATGTCATGCCAAAACATTAGTTCTTCACCACCCTGACCCTAGTGTTGTTTCGGGGTAAATTGTGGAAGAAAAGTAGCTTCCTTAGCTAATATATTGACTTAGAGCACACTCGACTAGTATTCCAACTAAAAATGTAAATCCCGGTAAATCTGAGTGTGAATTTCCTACCAAATGGACGCTGAAATGTCTGCAGTAGGCCGCAGGGGGGTGTACTTTTCTCACCCTGTACTTTTTCTTTCCCAACTTACCAAGGGTACACTCTCATTCCAGGAACGTGACATCACGTTGAAACGAACGTGACAAAATGTCACGTTCGTTTGAGCATTGTGTCACATTCGTTTGAGTGTGAATTGGCCAAAAATCAGCTTGTTCTCATCCAAACGAACGTGACACAATGCTCAAACGAACGTGACAGTTTATCTCGTTCATTTCAACGTGATGTCACGTTCCTGGAATGAGAGTGTATTGTGTACAAAAAAAGCCATTTTGGATTGTTTGTGTGGCAGGGAGGAGTCCCAGACCAAGCTGAGCGTGCTCAAGGAGCGCGGCCGCCAGGACCTGATCGCGCAGAGTGCCGAGATGCGCGAACTGCAGCGCCGCTTCGACCACGACACCAAGCTGCAGGAGTTCCTGGCCGTCAAGGGCCAGCACCGCGTGCTCGTCGACCTGGAGGCCAAGGAGGCCCTCAAGAAGAAGCAGCAGCGCGAGGCCACGGAGAGGCTCATCCAGCAGTACCAGGCCATCCTGGAGCAGATCAAGGAGTTCTCCGGCGAGACGGACATCGACCGCCTGTCCGCGCAGTTCATGAAGCAGGAGGAGGAGAACTTCGCGCTCTTCAACTACGTCAATGAGCTCAACAACGAGGTGAGTTCACCCACAGTGCAAATCCAAGTGCGGGTCAGTCTCACACAAATGTGGCGTGAACCAAAATGCCTCACGCTTACAAACAAGTGTGAGCCTTGTTGTTTGCCCCACGCTTGCAAGTGTGAGGCACTTCAAAATAGTATTTGATAGTGGGAGACAAGGTTTGTCTCACCCCTGCAAGCGTGCTAACGGTGGCACTGAACTTCAGGAAACCATAGGCACCAAAGTGTGGCTCAAACGTGAACGGTAAAAACTGTTTCTGGCTTTCCCAGGAAACCTTTCGTAGCCAAAGGCGATTTCCAGGGAGTTCCTGGGAAAACCAGGAACCGCTTTTACCGTGTGGCTCACACATGCAAACGTGAGACGTTAGTTTTGGTTCAAGCCGAATACGTAGTGTGACACTGTCCCAAACTTGGATATGCAGTGCATTTTACCATTTTTCTCCTGAGCGGTTTTGAACAATTCGTAAGGCGTTTAGAGTGTACAAAGTACATTTCGGATTTACTTTGGAAAAGTCAGTTTCGTTTTTTGTTGGATTTTTTTTTTCTGTTTTGAAATATCTGAAAAGTCTTTTTTCTTTTGCGTGGGCAGCTGGAGTCGCTGCAGGAGCAGGTGTCGGAGCTGCGGGCGTCGCGCGACGAGCAGGACATGACGAACCGGCAGCGTGAGCAGCAGCAGCAGGAGAAGCTGGTGGGGCTGCGCCGCGAGCTGGACGCGCTCACGGCCGACGCGGACGACGCGCAGCGGCGGCTGGACGGCTGGACGCAGCTGCGCAACAACGTGCTCACCGGCATCGACACCCTCTTCCACCTCGTCAAGTGCGACAACTCGCCCCTGCTGGAGCTGCTCGGTAGGTGGACACACTAAATGTTTTTGTACAAATTTTGTACGAGACATCAGTTTTTTGTGCACACGAACTTTCCGTACAAATCTGTACTAATTTTGTACAGTTTTGTACAAAAATATCGAAAAAACGAAAATTGTGCGAAAATTTCGTGTGCACAAAAAACTTTGATGTCTCGTAGAAAATTGTACATAGCATTTGGTGTGGACTGTTGTCAGGGTGACCACAGGATCGGAAAAAACCTGGTAAACCGGGAAATAACAGGGGAGAAAAAAGACAGCCGAAAAATGCGGGAAATACCAGAGAATTTTGTAAAAGTTGGGGGAAAAAAACGGGAGTTTTCGAATTCCGGGCCATCTCAACCGTTTCAATGCAGCTATGATTTTATTCTCCTAAATTGTCGATTAGGCCCGGGAAAACTTGTTAAAATCGCCCGGGTGAATCCGACAAATACCAGGGAACTTTCTTTTCGCGATCTTCTGGCCACCCTGCACTAAATGTAGTTTTATGTGCATGTGCATAAGCTTTACACAAAACTAACAGTGCACGTAAGTGCGTTGTTAAGCATGAATGCGAGCGTTTCACGCGGCATGCCCCAGGGAGAGAGAGAGAGAGAGAGAGAGAGAGAGAGAGAGAGAGAGAGAGAGAGAGAGAGAGAGAGAGAGAGAGAGAGAGAACCACAGCGCCTGTCAAGCCTGGGGTTGGCCTGCCCGCCGAACACCCCGGTGTAACGGGCCTGCCTATCCTGCACTTCGCAGGGGCTCGGCAGTCCTTAGCCCGCTTCGGGATTCTACGTCGGGTGTTTTTGAACAAGTTTGTTTCCCGCCTATAGATAGGCGGGAGAAGTGCATGGGAGGATTTCTTTTCTACGCTTGACTTCAAGTGTCACGCTCGTGTAAATTTTGTCAGAACGCCAGAAACATGCCTGAAATCCTGATCAAAATTCGCGCACCTGTCAACGCTGAAATTCTGAAACCTTTTGCTGATATGGATGGCCTGAGTTGTGCAGAGTGTCAGAACTTGTTTCCAGCTTTCAGAGGTGCGCGAATTTCGATCTGGTTTTCAGACACGTTTCTGACATTCTGACAAGATTTACACGAGTGCAAGTCTTCAAGCGGAGTTGTATGCTTCAATGAACACTCGCATGCTTGCATGAATGCTTAACACTACGTTTTACCAGTGTTGTGTTCCCTCTGTGCCAGGCGGCAACACCAAGGTCACCCCGTACAACCTGCTGCTGTACCTCGAGATGATCGAGCGGCGCTGCGTGGAGATCGTCAACCGGTGCTACATGCTGGAGAAGGCAGCGGAGGACAAGGGCGCCCTGCCGGCCGGCGCGCCCGTCGTGTTCGGGGACGGCAAGCCCGTCGTCAAGCCGCTGCCCACCGTGGAGGCCATCGTCGACGCCCACCCCTGCCCCCTGTGAGTCCACTCAATGCCCTACACAGTGGGCCAGAAGACCGGTGGAGGCGGCCAAAATCCCGTACGCGTTTTAAGCTCCGGAGTCGCTAAATGGGACTCGAACCGATCGTGTGACCCCGCCAATGGATTGCTCTCCGAACGAGGAATCCATCGTGCCCAGGTCTAAAAATCTCGTATGATCATACGGGATTTGAAAATTCGTTAAGGGATTCCCGTACTACCATACGAGATCCCGAGCCATACAGGATCCTGAGCTGGACGGGATCCCGTGAGGACACACGGGATCCTTTAACGAATTTTCAAAATCCCGTATGCTGGGACAGGATCCTGTACGCTAGGACGGGATCTCGTATGCCGGGAAGGATTCCTTTACCCACTAAAAGGATCCTTTAAAGTACATATAAAGACGTGAAAATGCAAGTTCTTCTCCAGATAGAATCAAAAGATTGAATGATCTAGGAGGTCGGAACCGAGATCTATCCAAATCTGCAGTCAAAATTTGGATAACTCCAGCGGTTCTCGAGATAGCAGAAAAAAGTTGTTAGATTTCAATAAATTTCAAATGGCACTGGTGAATTTTAGCGAATATACCCCATACAAAATTTGAGCTTAAAATGTTAAAAACTTTCCGAGTTACAGCATACCTAAATTTGAAATCCCGTGCGTACTTCCCGGGATCTCGGCCGCATAGGGGATCCCGCAAGACCATCACGGGATCCCGCGTGGCTCTTCCGGGATCTCGGCAGCGTGCGGGATCCCGTACGACCCTCTCGGGATCCCGGCTATATAAGGGATCCCTTATGACACTCTCGGGATCTTGTGTGACCTTTACCGGATCCCGTAAGGTCTTAAGGGGGGAGACTCGTCTTTAACACAAAAATTTTAACAAATTTCAGGCTTAAATAAAAAATGTTTCCAATAGATTTGAAGGTTAGTGGGGTTTTCCAATAAAAAGCTGGTTCTTAATCTTGATTTTGAAAAAAAAGTTTGTCTCTAGGCCCTATGACCTAGAATCTGTGATCTTTCTACTAAAACACTAAAATGCGCCAAAAATTCACTGCGCGCATGATTTTTGGAGAATGCGGCATCATATCATAAATGTCTTTGTTCCTCCCTCAAGAAGACTCCTGGCACTCTAGATTGAACTAGAATTATTGAAATACCTCGTTCCTAAGTGCCTGAAATTTACATTTTTAAGTGTATTAAAAAAAGCCTTTAAATTTAGACATTTCAATAATTTTTATCGGGCACTTCTACTGGGCCGATTGAAGATATCCTAGTTCAGAGTGACGGTCTTATAGAGGCCAAACATAGGAAAAATTATTGGGTCGAAACAATCAACGGTCTGGCTCAAATCGTGCGCGCAAGACCCAAAATATTGCAATTGAGTAAAATGGCTTCAAAGTTCGAACGGTCTAACCTATCCTGTGGAAAAATAATTACAAAATGTCACCCTATGGCCAAACGGTTTTGAAATTCAATACCAGCCAGCCACCAATTTCAAGGGTTTAACACAAAGAATTCGAAAAACTGAAAAACGAAAATCTGATTTTTTGACGTAGAATGACGAGTCTCCCCCCTTAAGGGATCCTGTGCGGCCCTCCCGGGATCTCGAGTGTCCTTAAGGGATCCCGCAAAACCATACGAGATCTCGTAAAACTAGACAGGATCCTGCAAAATGATACAGGATCCCGTAAACCACACAAGATTTTTAGACCTGGGTGAGGTCGCTTGTTTGGTTCGAGTCCTGTTCAGCGACTCTGGAGCTCAAAACGCGTGTTAGCTGCCTGCGCCGGTCCTCTGGCCCACTGTACTTTGATACGTAAAGTGCAAGGGGAAATAACTTTGAATCAAGTTCCATAGGAAATTCGAATGAATTTCAATGAATTGCTGCCAAATTTCCATGAATTTTGGCATAAACTTCACTAATTTTGAAAGATTATTTGACTAATTCCGACTAAGGTTTATGTATTTTAAAGAAATTTGATTGCAATATAAGAACTGTTTTAAATCTGGTTGAAGATTGAGAGAAATTAAAACTTGATCATATCTCCGACCATCAAACCATACAGTCAACTGGTAACTTGAGACACACTTAAAACAACGTGTTTGGTCACTAAGAAGAATATCACAAAAACCAAGGTTTCTTTTCTTGTTGACACTATTTTTAGACATGTTGTGAAACAGGAAAAATTCATCAAATGTAACTACAATTAGAAAAGGATCAAGTGTCTCATGTCACCCCTGCTGTCTCAAGTTACCCCAGGTTACGGTATTCCAGTCTCAGAACATGACTTATTGTTAGAACACGGTAGGGCACCAGAGCATACACAGACATCTCAAAGTTTTAAAAATGTCTGCCTCTTGTTTTGATGCCCATAGGGTTTTATAATGTATCTATTGTTTTTTCTTTCCTTGCCGCAACAAAGTGGAAAATTTTAAGGTATTTTTATCGAAACAAGTTTTTCTTGGGCTGAAAACTTTGTTTACAATAGTGGGGAACGGTTACAACAGGATTTCTGTCTTTTTCCCCATAGGTGTGTTGACCAAGAAGAAATATCAGCCATCGGAGATGCAGTTGTGACACCACTAACAAGAGATGAAGTCAGAAAGCAACTCGTTTACAAAATACAGAATCCAGCTTTGGACATGAACGACAGATTGCACTCAATATCTCATTGTAGATTGCCTCGTTCAAGAAGATTAATGCAAAAAAGACTAAATCAAGCCTAAGGTCATTATATTAATGATTCTGGTTCTGTCTCTGATGCATGTAACTTCTGTGTAACTTTATAACTGCTCGTACCTGTATACATAAACAACTCTGTTCCCATTATTTTAGTCTTTATTGTCCCTCACCCTCTCCCTACTACTGTCTCCAATTTCCCTTTTAACTGCAACAAAGTTCAGATCGGGGGATGTGCCACTTGGCTGGCCTACAGTATGTGCTAGGGAGCGGTGTTGAATGGGTGGCGCTAGTAATGTCTCTTTCTCTGTTTTTACTATTCTTTAATTTCCTTCATACAAAATTCGAATTTATAAAGTCCTCTGCATCAAAGAAACAACATTAAAACTATAATTAAATCATGTAACACAGTTAAATAAAGATTTTAAATTTTTAGGTCTGAACGGCTGATTGTTCACCCCTTGCTACATTCCCCACTGCCATGTATTTGAGCTTCTGATATCTCACACAAGCGTTGGCTTTTCTGAAAAGAAGAGCGCTACCAAAGGGAATGTCTTTCTCCAGATTTGTGGTTTCCACAGTACCTCATCCATGCTGAAAAAATATGCATATACTGATCATCTGTTGAATCATGCCTCAGCATAGTAAAAAACACTAAGCCTAACACTAGGTGCGTTCATAGACCGTAATTATATGCGGCAAATGCTCCTGGGGTGCTTCTGATCAAAGTTCCAGCCACATATCGTTGTCAGAGTTTGGAAGCAAATTTGGACTTTTCATTAATGCTCATAGCACAACTGTCAGGTGATGTAAGCAAGGAAGTAAACAGTACACTGATTGAAAGAAAAGAAGAAAGCTAGCTTTTGGAAAGAAGAAAAAATAAATTGGCACAGATCAATATGCATTCTTCTTAATTAATCTTCAGTATTAAAGTAATACTTGATACTGGTTAACAACATACTCAGTTCTATAATCCATTAAGGCCTAGGTGCCAACCATAGGCTAACCCAATCTAAATCTGGAATATACTATACTGCAAACAATTTTGAAAGCTTTAAGGCGTGAATATTTATGCCAACTAGAAATAGTATAAAAATGAAAATTTCATCTCTGTGAACAAAGAACTTTTTTGGTGCCAGAAAACTTCAAAAAAGCATTTTAGTAATTGAAATATGAACCAAAAAACTTTCTTATCATAAGCATAATTGGCCTCCTGAAATGTATATACAATAATGACTAATCTCATGACCTGCACAGACACTTTCATTTAACATGATTCACTATCCAACACAAATAGCTTACCCAAGGGCCTGCCTAGCAGCAAGCTATCTAATTGAAGTTACTTCGTGAAGCATTCAATTACAATCCAAACTAAAGACAAATTTAAAACATTCTTTTAAATTTTGAGGGCGCAGCTCTCCCTTGACGATTTTAAGCCAATCCTTCAAATGACCCTACACTGTACCACTCAACTTACTGCAAACTCTTATCTATGAGTTCCAACCATCGGAACGAAATAAAAACATGCTTTATTTGGACGAATGCACATCGTGTGCTGGGTAAACAAAAACCAACCCACTTTCTGTTGACTATCGTAGGCCCTCTATCTCAATTTTTTTTTGCTCAGTTGATGTAAGTGAGACTTTTCCTTCACACACCTCTCTTCACGGCTTGCTCGTCTCTGCCACACTATAATACTCGGAATAAGATTTGTTCTAGCATAGTTAACTCTTGACTGCATCTTTTTTTAAAATACCGAATGAAACCATCACAAAGCGTTGACTTTCATCTTCCAAACTTTGCCGTTCCAACAAGATCGTGACAGACTGACAACAAATCTTGTAAGCTGTTGACCGCCACCCTCAAACTTAAGAGTACCCAGTGGGTGCTCATAACAAAACGACGATTACCAATCCTTTGCCAACATTGATAGGAATAAACTGACGCACAGAATAGCAGCAAAACAAGGTTCCAAGGAAATGCGGCACGCGGCCTGGGCGGTGCGCTGGGCGAGGGCGTGACGGTGTGCAAGTGGTGGAGGCACCGCCCCGATGCCGCCTAGAGGCCGGGGGGCAAGCGGGAGGCGGAGAGGGTGGCGCGAGGGGGTATGCACTCGCGTGATAGGGGTCACTCTATCCGTGAAAGCACGCGCAAGTCCGCGTAATAACCGAAGTTACTCGAACTTTAACAATGATACGGCTGCTTTGGGCCGTTGTTGAGCTCAATACCGATAAATTTTGAGGCGAAGTATAGCGCCACAGACGTCACTGTCGGGTCCCACGTTTTGGGAGTGCATACCCCCTCGGGGTGGCGTCTCGGCCGCGGGGCTGGCCGCCTACCCCAGCACCCTGTTCAAGAAGTACGGGTAGAAGGTGCGGCGCTGCTGGTGGACGAGCGAGCGGCTGCGGTTGGGCCGCGGCGGCGACTGCGGCTCCGTCTCCAGGCCCTCCTCGCCGTCCTCCGAGTCGGGCTTCATGTTCATGGACAGGAGCGGCGCGGGGAGGTGCTGGCGCCGACGGCCGTTCTCCTTGGGCGCGGCCTCGGCCTCGGGGCGCGCCGTGGACGTGGTGGTGGCTGTGCTGGTCTCGGTGGCGGCGGCGCGCGCCGCGGTCGTCGCGTTGTGCACGGCCGCGGCCGTGGACGTCGCCGCCGAGGTCGTGGAGGTGGCGATGGTGGTCGGCGCACTCGTGCTGGAAGAAGAAGAAGAAGATTAGGCCTACCGTTGGCAGCGTGTATGCGTGCGGCCGGGTAGCTTGGCAACCCACCCGTCGCTAAGCACCGGGGTCGGAAAGATTTTCAGGCCTATTCCCTGCCTGCGACGAGCAACACTGGAGGCCGACGAGTGTGACGTCACGTTCGCTTTCTTGTGAAAACGAACGTGACGTCACATTCATCGACTTCCAGTGAATGTAGAATATAATCATCCCGAGGGCCCGCTGTACCTGGTTGACGTGGACTGGGGCGCCGCCGTGGACGCGACGGCGGCAGAGGTCGCGGCGGGCGCCGCGTTCTCCAGGGGCGGCATCGTCGTCAGCGTCCTGGCCTTGCCGCCGGGCCCGGCCATGGACTCCCGCAGGCGCACGGGGGACATGGTGGAGGCGGGCTCCGTGGGGGCTGCGGCGGTGGAGGTGGTGGTGGGCGCCGCGGTGGTGGTCGTCGTGGAGGTGCTGGTGGTCACCACGGCCGCGCCGGCGATGGCGGCGGGCAGGCCATCCTTCTTGACGGGCGGCCTCCTCACGATGTGGTCGCCGGCGGGCAGCGACAGGTAGACGGGGCTTTCCTTGTTGAGCTTGGCGGCCGAGACTTGCGCCGCCGCGGTGGGGCGCGCGGTGGCGGCCTGGGGGCTGGGCAGCGGCACGTCCACCACGGGCAGGGCCTTGATGAGCGGCGTGCGCGCGCTCGACAGCTCGCGGATCATGAGGGCGTCGTCCAGGTCGTCCGCCGCGTTGGCGTCCTGCGGCAGAGAGGCACGGATGAGGCGACCATCGCGGCAATTCTACTGGGGACGCCGCGAGAAAGGTTTGAGAATTTAGTTCAAAAAACTCCAAAGAAGGGCAAAATATCATGAAATATCGTGTCTACGACGAGGGGGAAACCGCTCGAGAATTCCCGTGTCCCTAGAGTGCTCGAAAATCAGAAATCTCTCTCCAAAAGACAAGCAAATTTTAGCCGTAAAATTGGACGAAATCTTGTAAAATTCCACGAAATCTCATCTCCTAAGAAATCTTGTGTCCGCAAACAGAACACTGGTAGAACTCAAGCGTAGTTTTACGCCTATCTTCAAGCGTAGTAGAACTACGCTCGGCTTCAAGCATAGTTCTCCATTTTGCCCCTCTCCCGCCCATCCAAATGCATGGGAGAATTTCTTCTCTACGCTTGACGTCAAGCGTAAAGTCTTCAAGCCTAGTTGTATGCTTGAATCAAGCATACAACAACGCTTCAGTTTTACCGGTGAAGTGGTTGCCCTTCAGATGACGGATTACTGGAGATTATCAATCAGTTTGTACTCAGTGTTGCAGAGCTGTCAACCCCTTCAAAGTGAATCGTGCGATGATACTGTAGGGCGGTAAAATTAGGGGTAAAAGTGGAAACCCGTTTCCTGGACAAGATTTTGAAAAATAGAACTTCTGTCACACCTAATGTTACTTCCTTCCAAAATAAAAACATCACAATTGGAATGCCATGAGTTCTGAAATGTCAAATCTTGTCCAGGAAACGGCGGTCCCATTTTAACCCCGTGTATTAACTGAACCTAACCAAAAGGCCTAGGGGAAGCTCACAACAGGATACATGAAAAACATAAATATTTCATCCAATTTTGGCAACTGGAGCACAATCCAATGGACATTTTGACTCAGGGACAAGGCCATTCTGGGCCTTAATATGGGGGGACATTTGTGTAAAGTTTCGACTGTAGATGGGCATATGAAGGTTAAGTAAACTTTACAGTCCTGGTTATTTGAGCCACGGCAATTATTTCTCAGGACACTTTTTAAGGTTAAAAGGGATCCAACTGGCATCAGTGGCCTGGCAGCTGGCACGCGTGTTGCCTACCCTCTGGGCCACAGGCGCTTCCGCACAGGTAAAGGCAGGTGGAGGAGAAATACTTGAGCGGTCTGCAATTCGCCACAATGTTGTTGTAATTGTAAATTACGTAGCAACTGGTACAGCAGACGGCGCATCAAGGTTATGGCCACTGCGCTTTTGTTCAACGCGAATGTGACTTCGAATTCGTTCCAATGTGAATTTCGTTACTTTCAACGAAATCGACGTTACATTCACATTGAATAAAAGTGCAGTGGCTCTAACTTTGATGCGCCGTCTGCTCTTATCAGTTGCTACGTAATTTACAGACACAACAATTACGGTGTCCTACTCTCCGTGTCCATCCTACACTGCAAGAAAAGACCACAACAAAAGTACACAAATTACTGGCAAATTTTTTATCAGGAGTTTCTTGCACCTTCAAAGTACAACAATTGTTGTACAAAGTACAATGGAACCGACATGACGAGTGCTGGGCAGTTCAGGCCTCGTTGTGGTTCACTGGTAAAACTGGAGCGTAGTTGTATGCTTCATTCAATACAACTATGCTTGAAGACTTTAAGCTTGAAGTCAAGCAAAAAATTATCCCATGTATTTAGATAGGCGGGAGAGAGGCGAGACGGAGAACTACGCTTGAAGCCGAGCGTAGTTCTACAATGCTTGAAGAAAGGCGTACAAGTACGCTTCAGTTCTGCCAGTGAATTTGTACAATCCCTATTTTACTTTCATTGTACAGTTTTTATTGTACTATTCACACTTTTTCTTGCAGTATAGGACCGCTGTCCGAATGCAGGGTAGTGCACTGTACCATGTGGTTGCCGAACTCAGCGCTCTCCAGCTTGTTCTCGGGGTCCATGGCCACGGCCACTTTGGGCACCTCCACGACGGCGGCCTGCGCGGGCCGCGGCGACGGCGTGGCCAGGGGGGCGGCCTTCTTCACCGACACCTTGACGTCGAACCGCGACAGAGAGACCCTCGGCTTGTCCAGCGGCGCTGGGGTCACAGTGCTAGGCGCCTTAGCTGGAGCGATGACCTCAGAGTTGGCAGGGGCCACAACGGTGTCCTTAACGGTGCCCTTGATGGTGTCCTTGACGGTGTCTTTGGTGGCGTCCTTCGGGGTGACCTTGGCGGCTACCTTGACGGTGTCCTTGGCGGTGTCCTTTACGGTGTCCTTGACGGCGTCCTGGGCTGGCGCGCGCAGCTTGACGGGGATCTTCTCGGGCCGGAACGGCTTGGAGCCGCTGGAGGCGGGGACCTTCTTGGGGTAGCCAGGGCCCTTCTTGGCCACGACGGGCACGATGATGGCCTGCAACAAGTTTTAAAATGTCACCACGTGCAAGTCAACTTTCGGGTACACTGAGAGTGAAAAAGTGTTGATCAGTATCCAAATTTGGGCGATGAAGGGAGTATCAGCTGCCTATTTGGCCAGTATTCTCACGAGAATTTGGATGAGGATAGTTCCCTCACCCAAGTTCGGGCGGTGCAATGATTCTCACCCAAATTTGGGGGGTGAAGATACTTAGCACACCTCGCCCAAATTTTTAGTCGTGATCAAGACCCTTTCATTCTCAGTGTACAGCTAAGCCCTTCTTCAAGTGATTAAAAGCACCGTTCCTCCCCCCTCCCCCCCTTTCCTCGCTCCCTTCTCTACACTCTAAGTGCTGTCCAGTGAAGATTCTCCATATTGTGGTGAAAATGTTCCATATTATGGTGAAGCAGCTGACTTTATAACATACCATTGAGAATTCACTGTACCTTATAGATATTTTGACGAATTTCGTTGGTATTATGGATAAAATCTCCACCATGATATTATCATTATCATATTATGTTGGTGCAGCCTTTCACAGACATTTACAGTGTACATGAAAGTCACCTTGTCATCCGGCGTCCAGGACGGCACCTCCTTGTCGCCCTCCTTGGGCTGGGCGTGCTCGGGTTCGTCCTTGTGCGCCACGATCAGCGTATCGGGGCGCGAGGGCGCGGCGGGGGCGGCCGTCTTGTCGGCGGGGGCGGCCGTGGAGGCGGCGGGGGCAGGCTTGGCGGCGGTGGAGGCGGCGGGTACGACCGAGGCCGGTCTGCTGGTCGAAGAGGTCTTGGCCGCGTTCGCGGTGTGGGTGTCACTCGTGGTCCTCGCGTTGGCCGAGGTGGAGGGCTCGCTGGATGGCTCGGTGCTGGTGGCCTAAGTGGCAAATCAGACCATCAACACTCTAAAAAAAATCAGTACAGAATTTTGTAACATGGTTACGCAGCTTTTTCAATAACATGTGTTACAGAAATTTGTATCACGATGGATTCAATTTTTTTCTTTGTAACTTGGTTACAGAATTTCGTAACGGTTACAAAATTTGTAAACAGTCGTTATTCTTCCAAATCAAGCTTCAAAATGAGACTTTTGTTCGAACGTAGTCTTTGTGGGTCTGATTGAAGGTCCTTATGCCATTCTTCGAGTATCAACTTTCCCCGATGTACTCTGAGATGTCGGGAATCGAACCCCAAACTCTGAGTTGGCGGCCCGCCACGCTACCAACTGCGCTGTGCGGACGCCGTGGAGGGAGCGGCGCAGGTAGCCGGTGACCTGAGACGCGCGCGGTAAGGGACGGAGGCCTTGCCAGCCAAGCATACACGAGACTGAATCTCTTATTCAGAGTCGGGAAAAATAAAAGCACATGAAAACTCCAAGTTTAACTTGTCTCTATGGGCACTGCTGTTCAATTTTGCCGTTAAAACATGATGTTTTTATCTCTGATACAGAATTTAGTATCCAGTTACAATTTTCCGTATCAGTTATGTTACAAACATAATACTGTAACCTTCATGTAACAAATTTATGTATCAAGGTCCAAAATGATTCATTTTTCTGTAACCGGCACATCTGTTACAAAATTCTATATCACTTATACAAATATTTGTAACCAATGCAGGTGATACAAAATCCTGCATCAAAAATGATACAAAATTCTGTAACTTTTTTTAGAGTGAAGTTCACACACTCAAAAAAAGTCTACGAAGCGTCTGCTTTTGTGACTACTGAGAAAATGAAGGCATTGCGGGATTCCTTCGTGTTATAGAAAAGTGCTCCGTATACGCTTAAAACCTTACGAATTATTTTGACCATACATAATACAAACTAATTTACTAGTAAGTAAGAAGAAATATTTCGTAAGTTGCTAAGTATTTTCTTTGTAAGCTTATGTATGCTCAAAATACTTTGCCATAACAAGCTGCTTTTCTTTGTACGGCCTGAAATAGTTTGGAAGGTTTTATCTGAGTATATCGAAAAAGATTGCTTTAAAATACAATGCATTTTTCTTCGTAGATTTTACAATGCCTTCGTTTTCTTTGTATTTCGAAACGATGCAATAGACTTTGTTTCTGGGTATGGAAAAGACTCAAAACAGAACTCACTGCAAATCCAAGCGTGAGACAGTCTCACACTTAGTTCGACCACTGTCCTACGCTTACAAGTGTGAGCCCGTGAATTACAACAGTAACGGTGAGCAAACTTTTTCGAAGCAGTTTCCCCCTTCACTCTTTCCAGAAACGGGACATCACGAACGGGACAAAATGTCACGTTCGTTTGAGCATTGTGTCACGTTCGTTTGAGCACTGTGTCCCGTTCGTTTAAATGTGAACAAGATGATTTTTGGCCAATTCACACCCGAACGAATGTGACACAAAGCTCAAACGAACGTGGCATTCTGTCACGTTCGTTTCAACGTGATGTCACGTTCCGGGAATGAGAGTGTTGGTTGCAGACTTACCGGCACGGAGGTGTCGACGCTCACGTCGGTTGTGGCCTCCCTGTTGCTGGCCGTGGCGGTGGCCGTGGTGGTGGCGCGGCGCTGTCGGCTGGAGGTCTGCTCGCCGGGGGTGGTGCCGCCAGACGTCTCTGCGAGAGGGAGGCATCGTTAGCACACTGCCGCCTCGCTCCGAAGGGTCGCTCCGTCCCTCTCTCTCTGTCGCACTCACGGGGCGTTCCGCGGCGGTGCGAGAGAGAGGCAGAGTGACAAAACGATTCTTCGCGGAATCCGCCTACTGCGGCCTACGACAAGCTCGGCTCAGCGCCGCTCCGCCCCGCCCCACAGTGGGCCAGAAGACCGGTGGAGACGGTGAAAATTCGAGACGCGTTTTGAGCTCCAGAATCCCTACATGGGACTCGAACCAAACGTGTGACCCCACCAATGGATTCCTCGTTCGCAGAGGAATCCATTGGTGGGGTCACACGTTCGGTTCCACTCCAATTCAGTGACTCTGGAGCTCGAAACGCGTCAGGATTTTCGCCGCCTCCGCCGGTCTTCTGGCCCACTGTGCCGCACTGTGCACCCTGCCACGCCTTGCCACGGGGTTGCGCGCCGGAGATTAACATTCCACGTATAATGACGACTGGTCCTGTGGCGTGCGGCGGCGCCGCGTTTCGGAGGGAAGAGGATGAGAGGGGAGGGAGAGGGAGGGGAGGGAGAGGGAGGGGAGGAGAGGGAGGGGAGGGAGAGGGAGGGGAGGGGCGGGGCTGCGGGTGGGAGAGAAAAGGGGGGGGGGGGAGGACAGAGCGATGAGGGAGAGGGAATGAGCACATTCGCCGCGGCGTATTGCTCGACTCCTTTCTGCACCAGACTAACCCATCATCATTTTCGATAGGGATCTGGATTCCCCCCTCCCCCCCAGCTTCCCTCCCGCCTCTACCCCCTCAAACTGATTTGCTGAGATACTGGAGCGACGGCGTTAATGAATTTCCTCAGCCAGCCACGCACCATGCGACCACGCGGCTCCATGGTGATAGAGGCGTGGTGCAGTGCCGCGCCTCGATCCACCAAGGCGGTGGTAGCGCCACCAGGGCGGCGCCACTGCCGCGGCCTGGCCGTGTTTGCATTACCATGTCTTCACCTTGACTGATGAAGACTGGCTGGATCCTCTCAGTGAGCAAACGCGGTGATCTCGGAGCGTCGTGTGCGTCGTGTCATACACGGCAAAACCGGATCCTGGTTTTCCCAGGAATCCCCTAGGGAAGACATAGACGATTTCCAGGAAGTTCCTAGGAAAACCAGGAACCGTTTTTGCCGTGTAAGTTATTGAGCAGAACCGTTTAACATAGGTTACTGCCTTCCCTATCGCAACACAAAACTTTTTGTTCGTAAAAGAAACAAAGCTCAGAAACATCTCGAAAGTTTAACGGATTTTCAGGCCACGGGGTGGCCAGACACGTCCTGTGCTTTCCGTGTTGTCACATTCGTTTCAACGTGACGTCACGTCTGAAGCTGACGTCACATTCCTGCGTTCCCGGTGTACACCTACAGTAAACTTCTTACGGATACATCCTATCTGTATTACGGACATTTTTGTGCAATTGCAATTACGGATAGATTTTGCTTGTAATACGGATGAAATCATCCGTATTACAAAAAGTTTTACGTCCGTACCATACGGATATTTTCGTCTGTATGTTACGGACGTAAAACTCTTTGTAATACGGATGATTTCATCCGTATTACAAGCAAAATCTATCCGTAATTGCAATTGCACAAAAATGTCCGTAATACAGATAGGATGTATCCGTAAGAAGTTTAGTGTGTGGGCTGGCGGCGCTGACCCCGCGTCCCCCGGCCCGACAGCCTTCATCTCCCTCTGTCTGGCAAATAAATGGAGAGCGCGCGCTAAATGCAGGGCCGAGTTACCCGTCGACGTGGAAGTGGCAGTGTAGCCGTCCTCCGGCTCGGGCTGCTCCTGCTGCTCCGCGTCCTGGCCGAGCGCCGCGCCCTGCCCCAGCGTCGCGTCCTCGTCCATCATGTTGTGACAGTCCAGCTGGGCGAACAGCGCCTCCCGCGTCTGCAAGCATCGGCGGCGCGTCAGAGAGAGAGAGAGAGAGAGAGAGAGAGAGAGTGAGTGAGTGAGTGAGTGAGTGAGTGAGTGAGTGAGTGAGAGAGAGAGAGAGAGAGAGAGAGAGTGAGTGAGTGAGAGCGAGTGAGTGAGTGAGAGTGAGTGAGTGAGTGAGTGAGTGAGTGAGTGAGTGAGTGAGAGAGAGTGAGTGAGAGAGAGTGAGAGAGAGAGAGAGAGAGAGAGTGAGAGTGAGTGAGTGAGAGAGAGAGAGAGAGTGAGAGAGAGAGAGAGAGAGAGAGAGAGAGAGAGAGAGAGAGAGAGAGCAGCGGCTTCGACAGACGAAACTCCTACAACGAGGCATTAGTAGACACACACCTAAAACCTGAACATCTCCGTAAACTGAAGTGTGTACATAGTACACTCTTATTAGAGCATGCTTCCAAGTACACTCTTATTTACAGCATACTTGCTAAGCACACGCTAAAATAGAGTGTACATGCAGGTACACGCTTAATAAGAGTGTACCTGGCAAGTACACTTAAACTGGCCCATGCTTTTAGATAGGACTAATCTGGTGTATTTTAGCGTGTACTTGCCAGGCACACACTATTTTAGCGTTTGCGTAGCAAGTATGCTGTAAATAAGAGTGTACTTGGAAACATGCTCTAATAAGAGTGTACTATGTACACACTTCAGTTTGCAGAGCAGGTATCGCTGGAAAAACTACGGCGTTGCGCCTTTCGTGAAGCATATGCGCTTAAAACATTACGAAGTATTTTGAGCATACATAGTACAAACTAATTTACTTAATTATACGAAGAAATAGTTCGTAAATTTTGAAGTATTTTCTTTGTAAGCTTATGCATGCTCAAAAACACTTTTCTTTGCAATGCCTAAAATAGTTTGTAAGGTTTTCAGAGTGCTCGGTACTTCTGCTAAATCGATCTGGATCAGGATATCGTGTAGCGAATCGAAATTAGATTTTCTCTTTCCCTGCGACTCCGTGCCTTTGGAGGCTTGCGAGCTCGCTTGCGGGGCCGAACCAAGGCACAGCAAAGCTTCCCCGTCGTTGGCGCTCCCTCCCTTATCCGCTCCTCGGCCCCGACGGCCGCGCGCTGCTCGGCGCTGCGAGGTTTCGGCACGTCTGTCGAGATTTGGGTGATGGATGAAGCAAAGCAGGCTCGGGGACTGGCTGGCTCAAATGTGGGGACGCCTTTGATTGCTCGCATGAATTTATCATCGCGTAGTTTGTGAGAATTTTCGGAAGGGAGAGACGGTGGAGCCTCTTCGCACCCCTCCACCCATTTTTATTTTTCCGAAAAGTCCGGCGAGCTTCTAGAAAATTTGAAGATGCACGCAAACAAACCTCTACAAACCTCTGTAGAGTATGCTTGAAAGATTTTGCGATGACAAGCAACTTTCTTGATAGACCTAAAATAGTTGATACGTTTCTGAGCAAGGGTACGCACTCTGAAAGCCAGTGACCCGACCACTACGTCTAATACGTTCAATTGCATCTAAAAAAAAACAAACGGTAAAAACGGTTTTTGGTTTCTCCAGGAGCTCCCTGGAAATCACTTATGTCTCTACCATAAGCTTCTTGAGAACCAGGTACCATTTTCACCGTAAGGCCAAAATGACCCGAAAATTTGTAAAATACAGGAGAATTTCGCCTATTACGCTACATTACGCCTCCTATAACGGATACCTGTGACATCTGGTTGAAAAGAATGTGACAAAATGTCACGTTCCTTCGAGCATTGTCTCACATTCGTTTAGATGTGAATCAGTTACAAATTAGCTTATTCACAAACAAACGAATGTGACACAATGCTCAAACGAACGTGACATTTTATCACATTCGTTTCCACGTGATGTCTCGTTTCTGGTATATGAGAGTGATAGAGTAGCCCACACTCTAAAAACCTTACAATCGGGCCTTGCAAAGAAGAGCAGCTTGTTTGAACAAAAGTATTTCGAACATACTACGCTTACAAAGAAAATAGTTCGTAAATACGAACTATTTAGTTCGTAAATACGAACTATTTAGTTCGTAAAAGAAATTTTGTTTGTAATACGTATGTCGTAAATAGAATAGTTTTTGTTCGTTAAAAGCGTTGCGAAATTTTACGAGTGACTATTAGGTTTGGGTTCACTATTAGTTGTAAATGAAACCCTGTTCCCCTTTCAACGACTCGACGGTTTGACTACGAGCCAAAATCCGATAGTGAGTTAAAACGGCGACTTTCCACGGGCCCCGGGAACCCGCGGTTCCCCGGGGGTGCAAGTTTCCCCATTTCAGCCGCGGCGGGGCCGCCGGCCCACTCCCCGGCTCCTGGGGAAACCCCGGAAAGGGTTTTCCAAACCCCCCGCCACTCCGGCACGCAAAAAAAACCCAAAGGGCATTACCCTCTGTCTAAAGCGTCATCATCAGTTTACGCTTGCGACCACGTAAAAAATTGTACAAATACAGTCTGCATCATGCTTGCGCCGAATTATCTGCACTGTTAAAACCAAAGCGTAGTATTACCATCTGATTTCAAGCGTAATCAGTTTACGCTTGAAATGAAGCGTGCTCATCCGCCAAGATTCCCTCTATCTAACTGCATGGGAAAATTTCCAGTCTATGCTTCATTTCAAGCGTAATGTCTTCAAGCGTAACTTTATGCTTGACTCAAGCATAGAGTTACGCTTTAGTTTTACCTGTGTGTAACATTGCTGTAATTTCAATGCATTATGAGACTTTCAGTGCGCACTCTAAATGTCTTACGGTGAATGACTGTATCAACATATTGTGGTGGAGATTTTCTCCATATTACATAAGAAATTCGACAAAATATCTGCAGTAAGTGAGTTTTGAAACTGTTAGTTACGAAGTCAGCTGCACCACCGTAATACGGAGAATTTTCACCATAATATGGAGGATCTTCACCAAAGACTCTTATAGAGTGCGTCTTCTTCGCGTCATTTGCCGTTTCGCAGTGCGGTCTCACCGGGCAGCTCGCAGATGAAGGACGCCACCTCCAGGCCGCCGCAGCTGAGGCCGTGCCACCGGAAGTCGGCCGCGGGGTCGGCGGCGGCGCACAGCTCCTCGGAGGAGCCGGGCAGGGGCTCGTTCCAGTAGCCCACGCTGGAGAGGGGCTGCTCGTTCCTGGAAGAATGCCGACACTCAGAGCTGCAAGGGACCACGGGAAACACACTAAATTACTATGTAGGTTTTTCTGCGCGCGAATGCACGAAAATAAACATGCACTTCATAGCGCACATTTTCTGCATACTTGCGCAGGAAATCGTTCATTGTCGTGCACAGATTCGTGCGTTACGAAATGCATGTTTAATTTCGTGCATTCGCGCGCAGAAAAACCTACTTAGTGTGAAAGCACGCTAGCTGCTGCCACAGGCCCCATAGAACATTTCATTTGAAACATAAAAAAAAAATAATTAAGTTGCTATCACTAACGCTTTATAAAACCTATAGGGTTGGCAACTAAAACACTAGGAAAACTAATTTTCTTTAGAACCGTACTCAGCCGAAAATCGAAGTCCAAATACAGAACCCTGGATGTAATCGCCACGCACAAAATTGTACAAATGCATTTAGCGTGCATGCTGGCGTTTCCAACTCGTACTTACGTCCACAGGAAGTGGGGCTGGTTCCGGGCGCGCTTCAGTCCCACCCACACTGGGGACAGCACGTCCAGTTCCCTGAGGAAGGCGCGCGCCGCGTCGAACTGCGCGCCGGTGTCCACTGCGACAAGGTGCGAACAGGAAACTCTTTGAAATTGCACATGCGAACATGACCAGTTTAGAGCCTTCAATGGGCGTGATTCATTTAGGGAAGCGCTCCCACGGTAAGAATGGTCCTCACGGTCCTGGATCTTCCAGGACCGTCCTGGTTTCTCCTGCTAAATACGTAGGAAAACCGGGACGGTCCTGGAAGTTCCAGGACCGAGTCTTACCGTGCTCGCGCCGACTAAAGCCTCAATTTAGGAGTGTTTCACTGTTAAAAAAGTTATGAATTTTCAAAGCAATTTTGATGACAATTTTACGAATACGGATATGAATTTTACAAACATTGCAATTTTCATAACTTGATGCGAAAATTCGAAACAATTTCGTAAAATTGACAATTGTTGGTAATTTTAAAACCATGTTCTGAAAATTGCGAATCTTAAATGTTGATTTTGGGCACACAATAGTAATTTTCCGAATCCGATTGTAAATCTCATAACTAGCTCAAGAGGCGTGGCCAAGGGGCGCTGGTAGAGTCATCAGTAGCTGACCCTCCGCCTCCCGTGGGGCGTGGTAGCACAGCGGTAAAGAGCGTGCACCACAAGTCAAAGATCCCGGGTTCGAAACCCGCTGATCAAAAGCAGATTCGGTTCAATAAATGGCATAAGGCCGCTTGGGTGTTCATATACATGAACACTTAGACGCGAATATGAATTTTCATAACATGATATGAATTTTCATAACGTGATTGTAAAACAATTTACAATCATTTGTGATTTTAATTTTCATAACAATTGTTTGTGAAAAAAAATGCCAACCAATGTTATGAAAATTACAACTGATTTTTTTTAACAGTGTTCCATAAGGAGCACACCTCCAAAATTGGGCCTTTTTGTTAGGGCTCAAACGTTGGTGGTCTCTGGAGACATGACTTCTATTTCTTTTGAGAAATCTAAGATTGCCTTTGAATGGATTTTAAGACTTTTTCTGCTGGTCAGATGATGTTCATCGCCATCCTGGTCAAACCGCTAGCCGAAACTAGACTTGGTTTCCAGGTGGGCCGGGACCCCCTCAGCCGAAACTCGAAGTCACAAAAGCCCCAGACACCAAACCTTCCCCACCCAAATTTGGGTTATAAAGAATTCCTCGCCCAAAAGTTTAGTCATGATCATGAATTTTTCATTCTCAGTGTGGAATGAGAGTGTGGCCACGTGGCGTACCGGTGACGAGGTTGGCGTGGTGGAACTGGCACACGGCGTCCGCCTCGAACCAGTTGATCCGGTCCCGGAAGTAGCGGAAGAAGACGGGGAAGCCGTCCTCGGGCAGCACCCACGTGTTGCTGATGTTGACCTGCGGCAAAGGAAACACAGTCATCCGTCAGGAGATGGTCACGCGGGCACAACACTGTGGGATCACACGCTTCACAGATGCGGAGTAATACTCCTCACTTGGACGTGTAGTTTGCAGTCTCCACAAACTGAGAATCCAAACGCTATGAGTATAGCGTCAATTGGTGCAACGCAAAAGCATTGCACATGAAGTGCAATGCCTTCCCACCCCCATGCATTGGCATAGGGCATTTTTCGGGACGCATCGCACGTAAGGTGCAACATGGCTGAGGCATTGCACGTATGGTACATCTCAGCTGCATTGCATCATACGTGCTACACTCATAGCGTTTGGAATCTCAGAGCACTCTAGGTATGGAGTACACTGGTAAAACTAAAGCGTAGTATTACCTTGTGTTTTCAAGCGTAATCAGTTTACGCTTGAAATCAAGCGTAACACGCTTATCGGTCAAGATTCCCCCTATCTACATGCATGGGGGAATTTCCAGAGTATGCTTGACTTCAAGCGTAACGTCTTCAAGCGTAACTCTATGCTTGACTCAAGCATAGAGTTACGCTTTAGTTTTACCAGTGTAGCCCACAGAGCCCCTATCTCTTGGCTTAGTGAAAAAGAAGAGAACGACACGACACTTGAACTAGACAATAAAATATCAACGCATCGGAATATGAAGGAAAGGAAGGCATTGTGAAAAATCCTTCGTAATACGAAATAATCCTTCACAATGGGAAGCAATTCTACAATGCCTTATTTCCTTATGTAGTTATGAAGTAAATGCTTTGTACGCCTTTTAGAGTGTACTCTGCACTTCCAAGTGCAGACTGAGAATACCACACTTCCGCATTTCAGGTATGGAGTTCTTCACACTTGATTCACAGTGGAGTGACAAGAGTTCGTGGAGCCGCGGCCGGCAATAGAGGTCGAGGTCGGGTGATCGTTTGTACGGTGGCGCTATCCACCGCTTCACGTAGAGAGAGAATACTTGAGAGAGAGAGAACTTCTATCCGCACTCGCACGTAACACTCGTAAGGCTACAACGATCACCCTGCGGACCCCTCGGAGTCGAACTGAAGTGACGGTGTATATATGCCGCACCGAAGTAACCGAGACCGCCAGCGAGAGAGACGGTGTCTCCATCGCGGGGAGCCGCGTCTTGTCCGTCACCGCTCTGGCTGGGCGGTGGCGCGAGGTGGACAGGCGGTGCCTCTCGATTGCGTTCGAGACGGCGGCAGTGCGGTGGCGCACCGGGCCAAAAGTCGCGATTAGAGGCTTTGTGTCGCGTGCCTTCCAGCCGCGCCGACGCCAGCGCCACCCTACGGCCAGCGCCGCAAACACGCCGCCGCGCGCCGCACTCCGAGGCGGATCCAGGGGGAGGCGAGAGAGAGGAGGGGGGGGGGGGGGGGGAGGAGAGAGAGAGAGAGAGACAGAGAGAGAGAAGCGCGGACCGAGGGGGCAAAAACTCGGGATTTTCGTGTACACATGATTCGGAAAACGCAATGATTTCATGGCTGATTCGCCTTATTTCGCGACGCACCAGGGTGATGTTGAGCGTGATTGTGTGTGATTGTGCTCGGAAAGAAATGATTTCGGACTGATTTTGCCTGGTTTCGTGTGATTCTGCCTGATTTCGGTCGAATTTAGTGATTTTGGTTGATTTCGGATTGCTTGATTTCGCGTGATTCTCAATGATTCGCATGTGATTTCGGGGGCCGTGTACACATGATTGCGCGAGTTTTCGCCCCCTCGGCGCGGACCCAAAGATTTGTTGAGGGATGTCGCAAAAGTTGCCTTCTTGCAGGGGCAAAGTGCGACTTTCTGCCTACCTTTCCGGCCGCGTTCACACTCACACTAGAAGTAGACTCTCAGTGATACTGATTAGTATAAACGTTTTTATATTATTATCTTATTGGTGGTGTTTGAAGATGCTTGACATACGGGAGCTAGTTACTCTGTCATATTTTTTTTTACCTAAAAATCAATATTGGCACCCACTGTGAACCACGCTTTGTTAATTTCTTTGGCTTACTGATTACCCAAAGGCATCAATTTATGCGGCTGTTTTTTTTAAGAAAGCTGTTTTTGCTCACAATTTTTTGTACCAATTGTGGGTCAGCAGTTTTTGGTGCCACCCGCGCACGAACCTTGAAGAATATTGCTTCCTTACGCTCGCGCCGAAGCTCAAATTTGATTGTAAGACGTTCAGAGAGAAGACCTGAACCGAGATTGAAACCGATTCGCTCACTCACTGTGAAAATCTTTCAAACTATTTCAGGCATTAAAGTAAAGCAGCTTGTTATAACATGCATAAGCCTACCTAAACTTACAAAGAAAATACTTGGCCATTTACGAACTATTTCTTCGTATATAAATGAGTAGCTTGTAATGCTTAAAACATTTCGCAAGGTTTCAAGCGTGCTCATCCATTGGCTCTGTAGCTGCCTTACGACGGAAATGATCCTTTATTGTACCACGATCTAATATTAATTTGTTACCTTGTTCGACGCTTTTGTGGTAGGGTACACGCGCGCTCAGTTTTTGCCTCCCAAGAGTTGCTCTAGCCGGTGTCCCACGGGCGCTATGAAGATAGAAGAAACGGTGGCGGGGCAGATTAGGGGGATGACGACCTCTCTCTGTCTCTCTCGCACTCGCAGGGCGTTCCGTACGGGTGCGAGAGAGACAGAGCGATGGGAGCGTCTCCTAGGAGACACCCGCTGCTCCAGGGCCGCGGAAAACGGCCGGGCGCGAGGCACGCCGCGATCTCTGATAAGAAGAATTTGATGGGGGCTTAGCACCTGGGGCCCCAACAGGGCGGCGGCGAGGCGCGTGCTGCCGAGAGGGGGAGGGGGGCTTGCGGTTGCCGGGGGGAGGAGGGGGATGGGGTGATCCTCATAAAGTATTCACGACGCGCAGTGTTTACCGGGTTGCATAAATTCAGGGGATTTCTGCTCTCATATTGTTAGCTTTGCAAACCCGCCGCGCGCACCGCTGCTGCAGCGTCGGGCCGCTGTTGTTGCCGGAGCAAGACGTCTCCGATCCACAGCAAGAGGATTGCGCGAGGCTCGGCCCAGTGGCTCGGTCCGTCGGATTTGGAGATCCGTCTCGCGCGTCAATGGCTCCAGTTACACGCCGCTCTCGTCGCCCCTTCCACCGAAACAGCGCTCTCGTCGCTCTGTCTCCGTCGCACCGCGACGGAACGTCCCGTGAGTGCGAGAGAGACGGAGTGACCGGGACGGAACCAACCAGCCTGCTGCTGGCGCCTCGGGCGCTTCCGTCGTAACCGATCGGCTATCCCCGTCCGCGGCCCGATGCACGCGAGAAATCCACCGCCAGGGATCAGCTGCAGCGAGAGAGAGAGAGAGAGAGAGAGACAGAGAGAGAGAGAGAGAGAGAGAGAGAGAGAGAGAGAGAGAGAGAGAGAGAGAGATGAGAAAGGGAGGACAGGGGCGACCTGCCCGTCGTGCGCCCCGCTGCTCACCCAAGTGGGGCTCCGAGGCGAAATGTTTGCCCCCACCGCGTCCTCTCTCACTCAAGCAGGCAAGCGTCGGCCGGAGACAGAAAGGGTCCGGGATGTAAACACTCCACCGAGAGAGAGAGGGGGAGAGGAGAGAGAGAGAGAGAGAGAGAGAGAGAGAGAGAGAGAGAGAGAGAGAAAGAGAGGGGGGAGAGAGGGAGGGTGAAGGGGGAGGCTTCGCGCGGTGTGCTCAAGTGCAGAAACAGCGCGGGGGGACGACGGAGACTGGGGACGGCACTGTAACACGGCGAAGAGCAGATCGAGGACCGTCCGTCTTCAGTCGGATTAGACGAAATGGCGTAAACGGTGTTCTGTTGGAAAACCCTCCCGCCGTAGTGGGCCCAGCTTGCAGTAAATATTTTTGTACAAATTTTGTACGAGACATCAGTTTTTTGTACACTCGAACTTTTCGTACTATGGCGAAAAACGTGCAGTTTTTCGTACGAAAATGGTACGAAAATGTCGTGTGCACAAAAAACTGTGATGTCTCGTACAAAATTGTACATAACATTTAGTGTGCGCAAGATCGCGCTTCTTGGGACCCATTTAACTGTTTTGCAGTTCAAATTGCACGTCTAACTACGTATCCGGAAGGAGCTACCTAAAGGAACAGCATTGGCTAGGACCTTGAAGCTTATATGTACCACCAATAAAGGGTAATATTTCTTCGTCCAGGAGAAACAAGGACGCTCCCTGGTGCTGAACCTTCTTTCAGTCGGAGTAACGCCTTTTCCGGGCGATACATTTGTGGACGACTTTTCTTTCGGTTTTATTTTCATTCGAATCGCTGGAAATGAGTGAGATGTCTCACCCTTTGAATTTCAGAGTGAGGTGCCACACTCCCAATAACCTACTAAGCGTTTTATTCCTCTGACAAAACGCTTAGTGTTATGACTGCGCAGCGAAGGTGTAGTAACCTATGGAGAATTCTGTAGAGAATTTTTACAATATAGCGAATCTTCACAACACAAGTTTTAGAGTGTTCCGAGTGCGGCAGTGTAGCCGAGGTCAGAAGTGGCGGCGGCGTGGGCGAGCCCTGCAGCGCGGGGTAAATGCCGGCGGGACCAGATGACGAGGGGCCGGGGGAGGCCTGGCGGGCCGGGCACTAGTTCGGTAGTTAATATGTAATGCGCCCACTAAAATCTAATGTGTGCCGAGCGCCGAGCGGCCTCATTCCGTATTCGGCGCCCGCAGAGCACGCAGAGCCAGCCGCTGCACTCCACCGCCGCACTGTCCCACCGGTCCTCGACTGCCCCCCTCCCCCTCTCCCCCCTCATCGTCCCTCCCCCCTATCCCATCCCCCTTCCTCCTCTCCCACCCCCGCTTCTCCCCTCCTCCCTCTCCCGTCCCCCATTTTACCTCTCTCTCTTTCACTCCCCCGCTCGTGCCTAACCCCCACCCCTTCCACCCCGCATTATTAAACGTCAGCGTAACACACATCAGGCATATTCCGGAGCACGTCCAGCGGTACACTGTGAAATGTTCTTAATCA